AGCTGTTGGGACCTTCACAATGGGTATTGGTGGGCGTCCCTTAACACTACTGGTTTCCCGAAGCTGATATATTGGTAGTATTTGTCTTACAGTATCTCTTCATATGTCCTTGCTCTCCACAGTTCCAACAACCTCACTGGGTAGCAGCCTTTTCTGCAATTGCATCTTCCCTGTGTTGAAGTTGACAGCATTGAGCTCTCTTGTGCCCTGTTTGTAACAGTGCCAGCAAAGTCCCTCAAACTTCTCTGAAAGCTACTCTTTTCTGGCCTTGAATCCTGATGACTGTACTAACCTTGGTACCTCTGTGCTGGATTTAACATAGGATTCGAATCCAAGAGCTCTGGCCATTGCATCTTGTATAGTAGAGGGGTATGCTTGCTTCATTTGTATCTTCAGTTGTGGACTGTCCAAGGTGGAGCAGTTGGGTAGGCCTTATGTGTCATACTTTCCAAATCCTGTGCCAGCTCTTGCAGGCTCAACGCTTTAGCACGGACTGTAGTACTAAACCTAGCCCTGTAGACTTCGGACTGATTTTGAGTTCCATACCTGAGTTCTAGAGCAGCTACCAGTGCTCCATAGTTGTGCCTGTCGTCTGCTGACAATTGTCCAAGTATTTCTAGTGGTTGTCCCTTCAGGCTCGTTGCCAGGTACACTGCTTTCTGCTCTTCTGTCCATTCATTCATCTCTGCTAGGAGATCAACTTGTGCTCTATATTCTTCCCACGGTGCCTTTCCATCGAATTCCTGTGACGTCCTTCGTACCAGATCACCACTATTGCTGACACTCATGTCTGGAATGTGACTTCTGGCAGGACTGAATATGTCTGCATTAGGGTTTAGCTGCGGGGTCTGGAAGGGGCTTCCTGTTGTCTTGGGCTGATTAGGTCCATAGTTAATATATCCTCCATGTGTAAAAAACAGTAAATCGTCCTTTATTGTATTTAATTCACTTTGAAATTTACTAACATTTTCCATTTGTGTACTCTGGCTTTCTTTCAACTGTTGGAGACTTTCTTGTTTATTTTCTTTCTCCTCCAACCACTGCTGTAGTCTCTCTTCTTGTTCATTTTCTTTGTCCTCCAACCACTGCTGTAGTCTCTCTTCTTGTTTATTTTCTTTCTCCTCCAACCACTGCTGCAGTCTCTCTTCTTGTTTATTTTCTTTGTCCTCCAACCACTGCTGTAGTCTCTCTTTTTGTTTATTTTCTTTCTTCTCCAACAACTGCTATAATCTCTCTTGTTTATTTTGCTGTTCGAGCTGTCACTGTTGCAGGGTTTCTTGCCACTGTTGTTGTCGCGTTCTTCTTGTTTCTTTTTTTTTGTTCTTGTATTACTGCCATCAAATCTGCTAAGTCGTAGTTTGATTTGTCACTTCTCGTTTCCATTTTTTTCTCTATCCCACTCTCTGACACCAATTTGTTGCGTATTTGCTCCGCTTGTTAACTTCCGGTATAAATTATTTCCGAGGAACTTCAGCGATACGAGTCCTTTCTTAATTAAATCTAGTTTATTCTTTTTTCGCTACAACTTTGTAATACACAGAATTTCCACAGTCACACGCTATAAATCACAGTGATTCACACACTTTACTTATGGTGCCTACTGTTCGCTTGACTCAGTTATCTCTATCTTCAATTTATCTGCATATCTATCTATCGGTGGCTTTATTCCCCAGGCTTATATACTAAAAAAAGAGGGCGTCAGGCAAACACTCGGACATTCGCAAGGTTCCTCGATAAGTCATGATCCTTCTAGAAACTCCAGCGCGCATGCTCCCAGCATCGCGTGACTTCCGCTGTCGTAACAATAGCTTTAAAGACCTATAAACGTAAGAATAAAAAAGCTGACATTTTTTGTGACTTCGTATGATATGATTCCTGGTGTGGCGGCATGATAACAGAATACGTTTTATGATAAACAGTAGTTTCTAACTTATTTTTGTTTTTCATACCTAACTAATAGTTTACCGTTTTTTGGATGTATTAGTTTTAAGAAAAACAAGTATAAGTTAGAAACTATTATCTAAGTCCGTTGATCGGTTTTAGAATAAAGATTTTGATTGTGTGCCAAATAACGATGATCATTTGAGTATTTTAATAGACTTGTGGCATTTATAGTTGTTTCTTAATCAAATCTTAGTAATAAATATCAAATATTATAGTTTTTACATTACATTTCAATGCTTGCTATCCGCATATTTTATAAACGGAGCTGTTGCTACTGGTAGTATTTTATGTATATTGAATTATCACTTTACGTCAGTTTAAATGACTTTACATGTATTTATGCAGTTTTACTGAAATATAATATTCTGTTAATAATTGTAAATATATCACGAACTAGAAACAAAAGTTAACTTTGATTTTATTAAATTATTTTCGTCAGATTTTCTTCGCCCATATATTAGAAACAGTATATGGAATATGTTACTAATATACTATGTTCACGCAACTAATTTACCAAATTTTTCGCCTCTTTTTACAATATAAGATCATATAATAGAAACGCAAACTTTGTATTGTGATAGCCCATTGTGTTGCTTTGTGCATATCTTCAAACAAACAAACAGTTAACTATGTATTTATATATATACATATATGAAAAATACGCCAACTCTAATTGATAGAAGTAAATTACAATAAGTGCATTATGCCAAACCAACTAAAACCTATGAACGATTAAAATGCTTTATGTCCTCGTCGTTTCTTTTAGGGTGGGTGTTTTACGTCTTCACAGTTTCGCTAAGATCGGTGTTTTTATGTCCTCGCCGTTTCGCTAAGGTGGGTGTTTATTCCTTCATTTTACTTCTGTTCACTACATAAACACACACATAAAGCAGATTATTTTTTTATCAATTTTCACAACTTTGGAAACATAATATCGAATTATTTTTGAAATATATTAGGTAACTAATTAGATGTGATTACTCGTGAACGTATCATATGTTCGTCTATACTCTAAAGTGGTTTATCTCCAATTTGTCAGCCACTGATTACCATGTAACTTTCAGAGATCTACACCCCAGAAGTTTTTAAAACCTTTATTGTATAACCTTTTCCAAATTTTACGAGACTGACAGCCACATCTATTTCACCCCTTTTGCTTAGTACCTTCTTGTGAGCCTTGATCACCATGACGCTTTCCGGGTTCTAGGGTACGTTAGTATTCAATAAACCAGCATGTGGAATGGAGTACGGAGTCGTCATCTCCGTAAAACCAACGAAATAAAAACCATGCATAGCGCTGAGATCTTTGTTAGTCGATTTAAATGATGTAAAATAACATTTTAAACCGCCAGGTTTCTATCAACACAATAAACAATCAAATGATCAATTCCTCTTTTACAAACAACTTTATTTTCCTGCAAATTTTAACATATGAATTACACTTTTGGATAAACTTCGCTGTAAGATTAGTTAAAGGTTTTATTTACTAAAAGTAATTCAAATTTAAAATCACTGTCGAATTAAAATAATATAAGTTGTCGTAAATTTAATAATTGCTTTAAAATAAGCACACATTAAAATAAAACGTTTGAATTCGAGTGATTTAGAGTATTGTCAAAAGTTCAGTTTTAAACAAATTTATAACTAATTATTATGTATTGTAGGTTTAAACTTAATCGATATATCTATCGTTACATAACGTAGTTTCTAACTTTCTTAATTTATGTTTAATTAATGCATAAGAAAGTATAGCTTACCTTCAAGTAATGCCATGACCAACTCGTTTCGTCGCCATCTTCTAAGCCTTGAGCTATCATTAGAGAGGCTTGGCTACTGCTTCGTAATGAAGGCAAACTTTCTCTCGCAAGTATCTCTAGTCCAGCCATCTGTTGATATAAAAAAATCCTTTCATTTTGTGTTCAACATTTCTCAATTTGTTAAATTTTCATTTTTGATGTTCGAGCCATTATTTTATAACTTGTGCAAAAACAAAACTTGTTTAGTTACTGCAACATTTAAATCTTTATTTTGTTTTTCTAGTTGCAGATCTCGAAGTAGGCCCCAGACAGACAGCTGCCACATCCACCTTCAACAGATTTGTTTGAGCTTTATAGCCTACATGTAGACGTGTACATATTATGTGTACAGTCATTAGAAAGAGGCCATTTTATGCTATAAACTAACAACATCGGTATTGGACATAAAGGAAATAAGAGAGTAAACATTACTAACAGCATACAGAGTGAAAAACAAAGTTAAACATATACATATAAGGTACATGGTACCTGATGATGACAAAACCTTGTCGAAACGTTGTACATTTGCTGTCATGTTAAGCTTATATTAAAGTTTTTCTTCATTACCCATTTAAGCCGTCTCCAGCCATTATATACATATAAGCATTCCCATTACACACTACGAAATAAGGAAACAAAATAATCTCTTCCTCCTTCCATTTATCTGTTAAATATATGATAACATCTACAATGATTTTAATTAAGTTTTAGAAGGTAAATAAAGTGTTATATAGCTGAACGATTCATGACATGTTTTTCATTATCTCTCCTTTAAGTGTCTATACAAATAACGTTTATGTAATATTAACGTTTGAGGGGGACTTCAGGGATAAATTTTGTTTCATTTCTAAATGTCGTTACCAGTACAACATTCTTTTGAAGTCGAAGTATTATTATATAATATCATTGCAAGCACTAACTACCTGTAAAAATTTTAAACTTATAACAGACTTTTAAGGAGATTAAGGACGTAACTTTGGACAATTGGCCTTTTAACTTTATGAAAGACAAGACGTGCATTTTAAACAGTATTTAGGGTGGGGTTCCCTTCATATATTTTTACGCTGATTACATCTGAATTATTAATATAAGAACAAAAAATAAATTAAAGCTAACCAAAACTAAATTTTAAAAAAAAATCGGGTCACGTTTCGACTGATTAGCTCATGAAACAGTAATTAAGTGAGCTACAAAATGTATAATTACAATCGTAAAAAAATTATAAAAAACTAGCACAAATGTTTCAAGAGATATTATCTTTTTTTCTCTCTATCGTAGCATTGAAAGCGTTCTCATGTATTGAAGCACAACCTGTGTTGAATAATGTAAGTCACGTATAAAAGAAACTGATTCTTTTTTAGCCTTTAATTAATGGTTATAAATGTATTTCATATACATTTAAATTATGTTCCGATCACTGTTAAATTAAAGAGAAAAGTGTCTTGGAAGTAAAGCTTATGTTGCTGTTGCGAAAGTTAAATATTAGTTATCTGTAAACACCAAACATGATAAGGGTAGACACTGTGGATATCAATTACAATAAACGTGGCATATTTGTCATACACACGTGTTATACGCTAATAGAAAGTTCATCCGAGGCCAATGTTTAAAGTTCAAGATCTGTGAATGTGATTATTACGACAGTTCTTCCAATATCTGAAGTAATTCATTTTAAATACAGGAAAATCGTTGGATTTTCGCTGGTCACACACTTTGTTCGGAAACTAATTATGAAAGTTAAAATTATCAAATTGGACTTTCTGGTTTGTTTTTCTTCCAACTTGGCTTACCCAGATCTTCTATGACATTGATTTTAAACCACAACTAGCAAGATTTATAATTTAAGGAGTTGCTTCTGCCCCTAGTAACGAACGATAAATCATTTTAGCCTTACTTATGCTTTTTGATTATTCGTATTTTCAAACAAACTCACATTTCTGGAAAATACTCATTCTTTTTACTGAGTATTTAGTATCTAATTCGTCGCACACAAACAAAACAAAAAAACTGTCTGACGTATTTAGTTAGCAGTTTGATTGGTTCATTCTGATATGAGATTTGGCTAGTATACATATTAAAGATGATATTATGATCTTGCTGTATACAATCTGGTTACAGAAATTATCTAAAAATAATTTATTTGTTCGGTTTAGATATTCCCACAAAGCTACTTGAAGGCTGTTTGTGCTAGACGTTTCTAATTTAGAAATAATAGATTATAAGGAAGGCAGATAGTCAAAATCATCAACTACCAACTCTCGGGCTATTCTCTATCAACGGAAAGTCGGATTGACCATCTCATTATAACGCCCACACGGCTGAAAGTGCGAGAATCTTCGAACGCCCTAATCCCCAGACCATGCCAAACCCCACGAGTTTATGTAGTTTAGAAACTGTACGTCATCATATACAGATCCCATTGTTAGTGACTAATGGCCGGAGAATGAAAGGAACGCATGAAGTTTATAAACTGTACGTAAGTAATCATATACAGATCCCATTATTAGTGGCTAATGACTGGAGAATGAAAGGAACACGCATAGTTTAGGAACTGTACGTAATCATATACAGATCCCATTGTTAGTGACTAATGACTGGAGAATGAAAGGAACGCATGAAGTTTATAAACTGTACGTAATCATATACAGATCCAATTATTAGTGGCTAATGACTGGAGAATGAAAGGAACGCATGAAGTTTATAAAATGTATGTAATCATATACAGATCCCATTATTAGTGACTAATGACTGGAGAATGAAAGGAACACACATAGTTTAGGAACTGTACGTAATCATATACAGATCCCATTGTTAGTGACTAATGACTGGAGAATGAAAGGAACACACATAGTTTAGGAACTGTATACGTAATCATATACAGATCCCATTGTTAGTGACTAATGGCTGGAGAATGAAAGGAACACACGTAGTTTAGGAACTGTATGTAATCATATACAGATCCCATTGTTAGTGACTAATGGCTGGAGAATGAAAGGAACGCATGAAGTTTATAAAATGTACGTAATCATATACAGATCCCATTGTTAGTGACTAATGGCTGGAGAATGAAAGGAACGCATGAAGTTTATAAAATGTACGTAAGCATATACAGATCCCATTGTTAGTGGCTAATGACTGGAGAATGAAAGGAACACATTTAATGAAGATGATCACCATGGAAAGTAGATGACGTTGATATGAATGTTGGTACCTTATATGAAGCATATTGGGAGAACACATCTTCAGAAGGGTTGTAACAGTCTGTCTGTTGGGCGTGCTCATTAGTTGTATCGTGTACACTATAACACCAATTAATTATTGTAATGGTTTGTCTGTGGGACATGACCATTAATAGTATCCTATACACTGTAACACCTATTAAATAGATTGTTCTATAGATTGAATGTAAGATTTAGAGTGGGTCAAAGAAATTCTGGTTTTTAGATGTCAGATAGTAGTTTGTATTATCATACTGTGGCTATTTATCATATCATTGAATGTAATGCAGCATTCTCCAGAAAAACTACAAAAATAACGCGACTATTCCTCAAGTATAAACTAGATAAAACACAACCTACACAACTCCAAGCTAGCTAAGACAAACCCAAACCAGACAAAATAAGCATGGCTATGCCTTAAGTCCAAATCAGCTAAGACAAAACCAAACCAGACAAAATAAGCATGGCTATACCTTAAGTCCAAACTAGCTAAGACAAACCCAAACCAGACAAAATAAGCATGGCTATGCCTTAAGTCCAAATCAGCTAAGACAAACCCAAACCAGACAAAATAAGCATGGCTATGCCTTAAGTCCAAATCAGCTAAGACAAACCCAAACCAGACAAAATAAGCATGGCTATGCCTTAAGTCCAAATCAGCTAAGACAAACCCAAACCAGACAAAATAAGCATGGCTATACCTTAAGTCCAAATCAGCTAAGACAAAC